GGCAAATAAGGGAACGCCAGACTCAAAGAAGCAGTAAATGCTTTAGGGGATAAACTGCTGCTCTGTGCCTGACCCAGCCACGCCCAGACTCGCTGCCAAGCAGGAAGCTGGGTTTAATAACATAGAGAGGGGTGAACCTCGCCCTGTGACATCAGCAGCAGGTCTATCACCACAGGCAAATCTACCTACCTGGGACCAGACACTCTGAACTGCTACCTCTCGACCAAGAGATCAGAGCCTGGAACAGACGTCCCACTCCCGCTCTAGTCTTGCCATGGGTCCCAGGCTTCTCCCCTGCCTGGTTCTTTGCCTCCTGGAACCAGGTGAGTCCTGGGCAGAAAGGATGTCTTTGACAAAGGCTCTCTTGTCCCAAGTTAGATGTCCCTGAGTGGGGCACCTGGTTTACACACTTGGCTGCTAAGTGAAAGGTTGGAGGCTCAAGTTCACCCAGAAGGGCCTTGTAAGAGAGGCCTAGCAATCCACTTCTGAAAATCAGCCATTGAAAGCCGAATGGTGCCCAGTTCTACTCTGACACAGGTGGGGTTGTCATGAGTCAGAGCCAACTCAACAGCAGCTGGACTGGACCTCAGTTCTATGACTTTCTTTCATGGCAGCAACATCCGCATCTTTCTGACTCTAAGTTTCCCTTCTCTCTCTGCAGGTCCCATGGGTGCCATGGTCACCCAGAGCCCCAAATACCAGGTTACCAAGGTGGGAAAATTGGTATCCCTGAGGTGTTCTCAAAGTTTGAATCATAATACCATGTACTGGTACCAGCAGAAGCAGAGCCAAGCTCCAAAGCTGCTGTTCTATTACTACAATAGAGACTTAATAAGGAAACAGACACCTCTGATAACTTTCAACCCAGCCGGCCCAACACTTCCTTCTGTGGTCTTGACATCCGTTCGCCAGTCATGGGGGACTCGGCCTTGTACCTGTGTGCCAGCAGTAGAGACACAGAGGTGCGGCCTTGCCTCTCCTCTGCTCATAAACCTCCCGTTCCCCAGATCCAAGATCCTTCTCTAGGACCCATCCTCCTTCATACAGCAACAACAGGAAGTGGGTTTATAGCTGCCATGATCTCATCTGTAGGCAGGAGCTAGGCATAAATCTGCAAAACCGATTGTCAGTTATGCCGAGAGTGGAAAAGTGGCTACAATCCCCTGACGTTCAGTTTGTGGTAGTTTCCTCAATTCAGTTTGTGATATTTTCCCAGGATCAACTTCATCACCCACTCTTTTTTGAACCATTGAATTAAAGTTAAATGCGTTCTGTCCTCTTCAGCAGACAAATAGAAACTTCTTTCTTTCTTTTTTCAATGTTTGTTTAAATCTAATCTAAATCAAAAAAATCAAACCCATCACCCTCGAGTGGATTTTTGACTCATAGTGACTCTACAGGACAGAGTAGAACTGCCCTATAGGGTTTCCAAAGAGCAGCTGGCGAATTTGAACCTCCAGCCTCTTTGGTTAGCAGACAAGGTCTTAACCACTGTGCCACTAAGGCTCCTTAATCTAAGAGGTTTAGAAATACAAGAGGCATTATGTGAAGGATTAGGGCAACCCAAAGCACATGAACGTGATTGTCTGGCATTTAATCAACTCTTATACTATTTAGAATGCCAGGAGAATTCACATGTTTTCAGTACAGATCTGGGGTGACTTCCATCCCAGAATGAAAGTAGATATACTCCCTAAATAAAAATCTTACAGGGGGAACACATCTTAGAAAAAAAAGCACTACATGAAAGTGCTTGTATCTGGAGTTGGAGGTGCTATTGGAATGGCCAAATGAAAACCCTAAATAGTAAAAGAAATCAGACTGGAAAGAGAGTATGTATGGAGATGTATAAGATGGGTTATCTGTACGGAAGAGGATGATAAATCCTGAAATACATGAGAGCTCCAGGGACAGTCGAAAAGGAAGGTCACAGGAGTGAGGGAGATGCGCTTCCCCTGGCTGAGCTAAAAGGGACACCTTGTGCACTGTCATAGGGGAGTGTGATGTCTTATACTTTATTCTGGGGTGAGAATGGTATTCTGAATTAAGGCAAAAACCAGAAAGACTGATAAGGTTATATTGCTAAAAATGTAAAATCCTGCACATTAAAACAGTACAGTAACCTAGAAAAATATTTCAAGGATAGTACGAAAGAGATTTTTATAAATTCTTAACGTGCGTTTTAATCATAGTAATGATAGCTATTGTTCTCTAAGCACTCACTACAAGTAGACACTAAGGTTGTTTTCTTTTTTAACATATAAGATTTTGTAAGGAAATAAAGAAGGAAAGAAGATAGGCAGAAAGGAAAGAAGAAAAGAAGGAAGGGAGGGAGGGAGGAATGGAGGGAAGACAGAGGTTAAAGTTTGGAGAGGCCAAGACATCTAGAATTTATGAGGAAGACTACCAGAGAGTAGGAAGAAGCCACACAAAGAAAGAACTCCAGACACTGCATAAAGCTCTCTGCGTAGGGATTGTGTAGGGAAAATTTAAAAAGCATTTGAGAAGAACCTAGATAACACTCACCAGTGCCCCCAGAAGGGTCATGCTTTTGTAGTGGGGCAAAAGTATCCTAGAGCAGGAGTTGACACATACAGCCCACAGATTGGACACCTATTTCTGTAAAGAAGTTTTACTGAGGGTAGAAACACTCCCAAAATGGTGGCACAAGGAACTCCACAGACTTTCTCTCTGGTGTATTAACCATTTCTGGTGAAAACACACTATTTAAGATCCCTGGAAATTTTCCCAGGCACATACAGCAAATGGAGACACTTTCATTCAAGAAAACGTACTATATCTTGGTAAGAACAGTGAGTCTGTGGCGTTTGAGCTTTGACATTCCTCCCCACCTCTGTGTGACAAAAGTTCTACCTGAGGTGGGTCAAGAACTTGGAGCCCCCCCCCCATCTAGGGCCACAGTTTCTCCCTAGAGGGGCAGATTGCTAGTATTTCGCACCCTCAACCCTGGTTCTGTGTCACAGATATGTATTTCAGACAAGCACAGCCAACAGGTCTGGGATCCCTTCTTCCATCCAGCACCCACTTGTAAGGTGGAGGCTCTGCCCGAGGCACAACAGTCCAAGATTACTGGGCCTAGTCTTCCTCATCCAGCTTGTTCATTTTGTGGAGATTCCACTTAGGGAGAGGTAGACCAAGCAAACTAGTGGCAGGCACACCTCCACCCAGTAACCCACTCATGGAGCAGTGTATACTTGCAGGATATTCAAAGAGAACCCAGCCAAAATCTCTATCATCTCTGAAGGGGTAGGGGTCAGGGAGACTGCATCATGCCAAGCCATGCCCTCTGAGGAGTGACACATCACAGACTGCACACAGCAGAGGAAATGGGCTGCTTCAGTCAAGTCACTAATCGAAAGCACAAACAAATAAACAAGATGGATGGTGAAGCAGAGTAATCAGTACACAGAGCCACTGCAATACTTTACACAAATTGTTTAGATGTATTCAGAGTACTGAAGGAAAGAAAAAAAACAAACATGTCAACCAAGACTCTTATACCCAGCAAAAGTATCACTCAAAAAATGAAGGTGAAGCAAAGGCATACTCAATAAACACAAGCTGAGAGAATTTTTTGCTATCCCACACACCTTACCAAAAATATTAAAGGGGGGTTTTCGAGCTGAAAGCAAGTGATATCAGTGACATCTGCCATGTGATTTAACCCTACTAAAGAAACAAAGATCACCAGGAAAGGTGATTATGTAGGTAATTACAGTAGACAGTATAATTGCTTGTTCCCTCTCTTTTTTTAACTGATTTTAAAAGCAATTGCATGTAAAACAATACTTATATAATTGTATTGTTGGGCCTGTAACGACAGAACTGTGGTGTATTTGATAACAGCAGCACATAGGAGGTGAGTGGGAGCAAAGCTGTGTTCGAGTAAGAAAATGATGCTGTTCCTCTTAGTTACTGTCGAGTCGGTTCCGACTCATGGTGACACTATGCTTGTCAAAGTCAAAGTGTGCTTCATAGGCTTTTCAAAGGCTGAATTTTGGAAGTAGATCACCAGGCCTTTCTTTCAAGGCACCTCTGGGTGAGTTAAAACTGCCAACCTTTCAGTTAGTAGCCGAGCGCAAACTGTTTTTAAAGCAAATCCACAGGAAGAAATGAAGAGAAACAGAAATGGTAAATAAGAAAGTTAATAAAACAAACTATAAATATAGACTACGTCTCCTTTCCTCTCTCAGCTTCTGTAAAAGATACAGCAGGGGACCGGACAAATCAATGATGATATAGTCACACGAGAGAACATTTGAAATGAAATGAACATGAAAAGGAATAAACTGGATATATATAAATAATGAATCACAAACATAATTTTGAACTTAAAATATGAGTATTGTAGAAAAATACAGTGTGATTTCATTTATAGAAGAAAACAAAATGGTACCGACTTTAGATGTATTTAGATGTATTTACAAATGAGCAAAAGCTAGAAAAAATTCAAGGGATTACTAGAAGGGTTTAAAACAATGGTCACCTCTGTACGGGAGAGAGGAGAATGGTTTAGAGAAGAAGAGTGACGACAGGATACTTCTAAAATTACATATGTTCATCTGCTTTAGAGTACGTGGGTGTTAATTTTATTGAAATCTCTTCTGCATTATATACAGCTAAAATATCTTTATTTTTTTCAATATAAAACATTTTTTCAAAAGTAAAGTGTGAGTATATGAGTAGGAAAAAGCCTTGGAAAATCCACATGAATTATTGGTTTGTTGCCTGGGGTAGGTAGGAATTTGTGAAGGAGTAGATAGGGTGGGAAATGGGAGACAACAAATTCATTAAAGTACTGTCCAAGACCTTTTCCTTTTTGTAATGGAAGAAAAGCAGAGACAGAGAAGCAAAGAAAGGCAAACTCAGCATGGTTTACCTACAAATTGACGTTGTTACAATGTCCCCTCCTTTAAGCGAGGGTAAATCTGCCTCCTGTGTTCTGTGAAGTACTTCTGTCTCATGTACAGAGCCGCACATCAAGGACGACTGGATTCTATGAAGTGGCCACGTCACACAGAAGCTGCGGATAGGAGATAGGAAGCCTTAGAGAATGTCACCTGCCTCCATTCTTCCCCTAACTCTGCCATGCACCCAATAGTCATTGGCTTTATAGTCCTTTGCTTCCTGAGTGCAGGTAACTCTCTGTCCTGAATGTGCCAGTCCCCAGCCCTAGGCCTTTCCCAATGCCCATGTCACCAGACTCCCTCTTGGACTCACTCTCTAATCTCTGTCTCCTTCCCTTGCAGGCTCCTTTGATGCTGAAGTCACCCAGACGCCAAGACATCTGCTCAAAGGGAAAGGACAAAAAGTGAAAATGGACTGTGTTCCGATAAAAGGACACAGTTATGTTTATTGGTATCAGCAGATCCCAGCCAAAGAGTTCAAGTTCTTGATTTCATTTCAGAACGAAAAGATCTTTGATGGAAATGAGATGCCCAAGGAGAGATTTTCAGCTGAGTGCCCCCAAGACTCAGCCTGCAGCCTGGAGATCCAGCCGGCAGCGCTACAGGACTCGGCCATGTATTTCTGTGCCAGCAGGGTGTCCACAGTGTGAAACATCAGCTATTCTTGATGCACAAACTCAGGGTGGCCCAGCACAGGAAGCAGGTGGCTCGCTGGTTGGAAGGAAGGAAGAGAAGCCAACTAGAGCTTCCCTTGGCCAGGAGGGAGTTTATTGCAAGGCTAAAGATGTGCCCCTCCAGAAAAACAAACAAACAAACCAACCAGTTGCTGTCCAGTCAATTCAGACTCACAGAGACCCCATGTGTGCAGAGTAGAACTGTGCTCCATAGGGTTTTCAAGGCTGTGGCCTTTCAGAAGCAGAGTGCCAGGCCTTTCTTTCCAGGTACCTGTGGATGGATTCCAATCACCAACCTTTTTGTTAGTAGCTGAGCGCTTAACCATTTATGTTGCCTAGGGACTCCAAAGAACCCCAAAACAAGAACACAGACATTTCTCAGAAACAATCTGAAATGAAGTCTTGCAGCTATGACATGGCCAACTTTATAACTCGTTTCTTTTTTCTGCCTTGTTTATCTCACGATTCTTCCTTATTATATATTGTTTTCTTCATTTCTTAGCTCTCATAGAAAGTAGATGGTTATATATTCTGATTGTAGTTTTCCAACCACATTGAGAAGGATGAGCTTGACTGTCTCTCTACCTAGACTACAAAATCCAGAAGACAGGAGAGATTGTCCCTGCTTTTCTCAAGAAGGTTATCTTGGAAAATCCACCTCTAGTCACAGGGGTCAGGTCATTTTGAACATGGCACCTGGGGCCTGTCCCTTTGAGTTTATGGATCAAAAGGCCAGGATTTCAGGGAGAGGAATACACAAATTAGGGGCTAGGGCACCCAAGAGATGTCCATTACAAATGAGAAGGGGAATTGTTAATGTATTTGCTGGCTACAGCGATCCTGGGAGAAGAGAAGGAAATAGAAGATCAAATCTTAGTTTTCAGAACAATGTGCAAGCCAGTGAAGATCCCAGTGTATCTCTTTATATGGGGTTAAACTCTGGCAGCACAATAAGCATGCTAATGTTAAGTGTGACAGCTTCAGATGCTGCAAAGTCACTTGTTGGTTTCTGTGGAGCTGAGAGACGAGAGCAGATTAGTGTGTTCTCAGTGGGAAAATACCTGTTGTGGAGACAAGCAAAAAGTGCTCAGGTATGTGACTGAAATATAGGAGGGACAACACACTCAACATCGATACAGTTGTAGGGAGGCATTGGGTTATTAACTCTACCTGGGTAGGTCATTATATTTACATAGAGCAGATGGAGAATTCAGTATATCTCTGTTAAAATTCTATAATCCATTCTGTCCACAAAACTGGCCTTTCTACACCACCCCACCACTCAACTTTGGAGAACTTTATAGATTCTCTCTGGACTCACCTTCCTTTTTTCAATATCAGCTGAACCCACTGGACTTACTCTCAGAAATCCAAACTTACTTCTTCTGTTTTCGGGCAAAATTTCTTTCTGACGCCTTAAAACATCAGCTCTCACTTTGCTGGTGTAATTGTATGACCTCTTATTCAAGCACTGGACAAATCAGTTGTTAGCGGAAACACAACAAGAATGTTCCTTAGAAGCAAGGATGACAAAACTTCGACTGGCTCATAGTGGACCTGTCATCAGGGAGAACCAATCAATGGAAAAGGACAGCATGTTTGGTAAAGTAGAGGGTCAGCACAAAAGCTGGAGACCCTTAATGAGATGAGCTGACAAAATAGCCGAAACGATGGACTCCAACATAACAACGATCGTGAAGATGGCGCAGGACCAGGCAATGTTTCATTCTCTTATACCTAAGGTTGCCGTGAACCAGAGCTGACTCGACAGCAACTAACAAGAACATTTTAAGTTACTTTTCCAGCTCTCTATAAGGAGTGTCCTTAGTACCCCATTCTTGGTCCCCTCCTAGTCCACTGTTACTCCTGGTGGCTGATACCTTAGCTCTTGTCACATAGGAATCACTTCTCTGGATGCCATTGTCAGCCTTCTCTTGGACTACTTCCGTTCTGAAGAAACTGCTCTCCTAACGGTCAAAACTGCCTATGACCAGACCAAAAGTCATGTTTGCTGCTTTGCTTGCTTGATCTCTTTGAAGAATGCAGCAATACTGACCATACAGTAAGTCTGGAGCTGTCTCTCGGCTCAGGTTCATTCATACCCTTTCAAGTTAAGTTTCTTCTCCTCTTTTTTTTTTTTTTTTTTTGTTTTAATGCAGTATGCAGATCCTAAATTTATCCATTAAATATCCCCCTTCCCAGGAAAATTCCTCTTGTTCTATTTACGTTTTAACCTTCTAGTTTATTGACTTATGAAATCATCTTTTTGTTGTTAGTTTAGCCATTTAAAAATCTCTACTCAAAAACTTTTAAAATGTCATGGGCAGACAAATTACTCAGCATCACTGAAAGTACAAGTAAAAAGGCCTGTTACGGGGTGTGGTCAGAACTTCAAAGTCAGGATATCTGGAGGTGGGCTCTAGGATTGCAGGTTTATTTTACCAAGCCCCCAACGATTTCTCGTCAGGGGTAAAGTTTGAGGACTACGGCCATGAGGATTTTAAAAACCTTGCCAGCATGTCAATTCCGACTCATAGTGACCTTAGAGTACAGAGCAGAACTGCCCTATAGGGTTTCCGAGGCTGGAATTTTTATGTAAACAGACGGCAACGCCTTTCTCCCACAGAGTGGCTGGGGGATTGAACCGCCGACCTTTCAGCCAGCAGCCGAGCACTTAACCATTATGCAACCGAGACTCGTATCAGGACTTAAGGGACTGATAAAACAGCAACTGCACTGTAGTTTCTCCCATTTTGTTTTTGCTCTTTCTTTTCCCTCTCACTCAGCTTTTCTTTTTTCCACTTTCTCTTTGGTTTTCTCTAAGGTTCAACTTTCCTAAGTCCCCTGAAGTGGAGTTGGAGACTTGTTTGCATTATCCCTGTAAGAAAGTAAAGATAAGGTCAACTACTTGGAAAGGTGCCTCCCTTGTGAAGAGAGGCCAGCAGCTGGGGCCGTGTTCAGGAAAGGGAGGTAAGTGTCAGATGCACGTTGCAGGCCAGAGGAGCAGCATCTCCCTTCCTCTCTGCTCTGAGCACTCAGATCCAGTGCTGGGAGACCTCATCCTGCCCACCCCCATGGACACCGGGCTCCTCTGCTGAGTGGCCGTCTGCCTCCTGCGGGTAGGTGAGCTCAGGGACATGGGACAGTTTGAAGGGATAATGTTTCCCCAGGCTGCCCTGATGCTCCGTGACCTCTGTTCTCTTCTTCAGGCCACACAGAACCTGGAGTCCTCCAGACCCCCCGCCATAGGCTCACAGAGGTTGGCAGGGGGTGACCCTGAGGTGTGACCTCCCTCCTGGTCACATATTTCTGTACTGGTACCAGCAGAGTCAGGGGCAGGGAGTGGAGTTTCTGATTTCTTTCAGTACAAAATGCTGAGGAGGTGTCTGGGATGCCTAGGGAGATGATCTTGGCCAAGGGGTCTGGAAGGTCCTTCTCCATGTTGAGCATCTGGACTGCAGGGTGCAGGGACTCAGCGGTGTACCTGTGTACTAAGGGACATTGACGAAAGGTCGGGGAAAACCAAGAGAATGAAATTGACATAAATGAACACCTAAAACCGGCCAGATAGAAAGTGACCAAGTGGACACAAGACCCCGGTGTGAGGTCACTGGTGGACCCAAAGGGAGACAAGACCCAGGTGTGAGGTCCCTGGTGGACCCAAGGGCAGCCACCAAGCTTTGTGCAGCTGCTGACTTGAGTGGTGCCTTGATTTCCACGGCTGTCACAGATCCCTGTGATGGACACCAGGGGACACTCTTGCCTGAGAAAGATGATGGGATCAAGCTGCATCCTGCATCCTGTAGGACCAGAGTATTTGCAAGCTCCTACAGGTGATCAAAGCATCCTGTAACTAGGAGGTAAAACAGACGGGTCAGTCGGGGGAGGCCCTGCCCCAGAAGTGCAGAGATGCTGCAACAAGGAAGAGGAGGATGCAGAGGTCCTGAAACCCCGGGGGAGGCGCTGTGACTGCTGTCTCCTGGCCTCAGTCTCCTCCTCTGAAGAATTAGGGAAGCCACCTTGAGTGCCTTCAGGATCCCTGCCAGCTGTTCATCTAGCCCTCTGAGGAATTCACATATTCAACCAAGGGGTCCCCAGAGTGTCCTCCCACCTCTCACTTCCCAAGTGCTGGCGATACAAGGAGACAACTCCCAGCGATGGGCAGTCGGGTCCTCTGCTGCATGGCCCTTTTTCTCCTGGGGGCAGGTGAGTCAGGGCTCAGGGAGGCATCCTTCCCTACCCAGCAAGATCTGCTCTCAGCCCCTCAGTGACAGCAGTATCAGCACCTCCTCTCTGGGCTTCAGCTTCTTTCTCTTCCCACAGGCACCACGGATTCTGGAATCACTCAGACCCCAAAATACCTGGTCCGAGAGGAAGGGCAGAACGTGTCCCTGAAATGTGAACAGACTTTCAATCATGACTCCATGTACTGGTACCGGCAGGACCCGGGGCATGGGCTGAGGCTGGTCTACTACTCAACAATCACAAATTATGTTCAGGAAGGCGACGCAGCTGCAGGCTACAGAGCCTCTCGTAAGAAGATGGAGCATTTCCCTCTCGTGGTGACACGGGCCCAAAGGAACCAGACGGCTCTGTACCTCTGTGCCAGCAGCTTAGCCACAGAGAAGCACAGCCACTGCCTCCCCATGCATAAACGTGTCCCACCTCTCCCACCCCAACCACAGGCCTGGGTGTTCTGTGGCCACGTCCTGCCCTCCTCCTCCAGCCAACCAGGCACACGAAGCAGCTACTGCCTTATAAAATGAACTGAAAGGAGGGCATATAAAAACAAAAGTAAAATGTTTTTGAGAAAGTCCTCCAGGGTCTTTGCAATTGCTCCTTGTTTCCAGGAGTAATCCTGCAAGACAAGTAGTCCAGCACACCCAAAGCAGAAAGGATTTCCGTAAATCTCCTAGAACCTGTTTTTATTGGCCAATACTCAATTATGTTGTCCACTACAGTAAAATAACCAGAATTAATTCTCCTTGAGTCTCCATGTTGCTTCACACAGAGACTTGCAGACAATGGTCAATAAACACTTCTAGGTCAAGCCCATCAGTCCGTGTGAGGATCTATCATGCCATAGTCGTGAAGTAAATGCTGCATTTAAAAAATGAAGGAGTGGCATCATCATCAAAATAACCAAACCCACCACCATCAAGTCAATTGTGACTCATGGAGACCCTATAGGACAGAGT